TTCTACCATTTACGATACTTTGGAAATTAAATTTTGGCCATTTTAGGTTCGAACGAGTAAATCGGATCCGTCTCATATTTATGCAGAAGATCATATTAATGATCCTAACTGTGCCTTCAGGAACACAAATCAATTCACTTTATCGCTTGGGAATTGTGGTATGACAGTTAAGAAAACGGTACAGAATTCTCAGAAAAGATTCTTTTTTTGATTTAATCAAACTATATTTTTATTTCACTGATTTCTTTGAAAATAGTACTATTAATTCTAAAGCTATTAAAGAAAAATGAATAAATTTCTTTGTATTTTTCTATCTGTTATATGCTTTCAAGCAACTTCAGAAAAACCCCGCATCAATCATTTGTCGCATTTGCATAACTGTACAGTTACACCCATTTTTCATCACCAATAATGATCGTTCCTATTGTGCACAATGTGTTTACTTGGATACAGATGTTATCGATAATCTCCATCAATCACTTTCAGTAAGGTACAGTACCTCTCAATTCAACTAAGTTATTTACAATGTATAATTTTAAGTATAAAATAGATCATTTGTATGTTTGTATTATCGAATGATCACTAAGTTAGGTAAAAATTTCCAGCGACTCGGTACCATTTGATTTGGAACCACAATTTAACTTGCTATCACCAAGATGTAGTTATCAGATCAGGCGGAATTCAATCGACGGACCACTTATACGTTACGCATTACTTGGAGAAACTGTTTATCATGTTTGGAAATGTTATGGTGGTAAGCAATATAAACATTTTATTGAAATATTGATTTTAAACATCAGTTTTTGAAATATTTCAGAAAATTTTCAAATATTGGTGCAAAATTGCTATGTGGAGGATGGCGAAGGGAATCATATTCTGATTATCAGTAGTGATGGGTAATAAGATTTTGCACAAATTTGATATGTGATAATTTTTTTCCATTTTTTGATTTAATGAGTTTTTTAATCTGACCGTGAATTATTTCAAGTTCTTCTAACAAAAAATTCATTTCTATCTTTTAGTTTGAAAGTTTGGAATGATTAAGGAAAAGAACTAGAGTGGTTAAAATGCGATTTTTGCAGGTGTGGCGTTGACAAATACATTCTGGAAACTCCTATATATTCACTCGATCGACGAACTGCTTCACAAGTAAAAATGGAATTGATTTTTGGAACTGCAATAACGATAAACTGAAAATCTTATATTGCCTTCCATAAAATTCTTTAAATCATTTTAAATTTGTCACAATAAAAACAGTCACTATTGTTAAATTTTCAATAATTACGATATCGACCTTAATATAAAATTCCGTAACTGTGATTGCAAAGCGACTGTGAGTAACTGAATAATATTACATATCAGAAATTGATGCCTTTCAGGAGATGCATGTTTTCAAGTTTGCTGGAAAGGCAATAACTCGTTTTACATGTCAAATTCGTATTTGTTCATCATCAAATGATAGTTGCCATATATCTGCAGTTAGTTGCATTATCATTTTTTAAAAGTTTCTTATAGATAAGAGAATATTTTGGACGAATAATTCAAATTTTATCGTTGTATTTCGATTTTTTGAGAAAATTTTAATTCAAAATATTCGGCAGACATCAAATTTGGTGATTCATCCTTTTTTATCAGCCGTATATCCAATGTCCAAGAAATGATACGGAGACAAATAAGCCCACGGGTGCATTTGTCCAAGGACCATTAACAGCATCTGCACCAAAAGAAATATCAACAGAAACAGCAATAATAGCAACAACAGATGGAGGATCATGGGATGTAACAACCGGAAAGCTTGATTCGATAATATCGCCAGTACATTCGGAATCGGTGACAGCTATTACAAAAGTACCGGAAGCAGAAGAACCATTTTTTATATCAGCGACTGATGATTACGAATTTTTCCCGGAGAGCAAAAGTGCATTTCCACCATCCATAAAACCGCCATCGAGGAATCATGAAGAAATGCAGACAGAATCCAAGTAAGTTAGAGAATTTGATTTCTTAACCTCTTGCATTATTCCACTTATTTTGAAACTTTTCTGGAACATCTTTCGATTGAATTTTATTCATTAACTTGTTCGTTTGCACATTCTAGCGTTTATCAACAGCGGAAAAAAAGAAATTTTTTCATAAATAAACTAACAAAAAGAGATGTATCGTTGGAAACCTCAAAGAGCAACAAAGATCATTTTACGTCATATGACGTAAGCGAAGTGCTAACAGTTCTCGAATCACCTGATGATATCGCCTATTTTGGTAAATTCTTCACTTTTCAAATAGTTAAAATTTTATTGAGCAATTTATTTTGAATAATACCCGAATAAATTATTTGTTGAATATGAACTCGTATATTGGATTTGAATGAATTTATAATTTCTAATTTTGGAAAAAGAAATTCGACAGCTGCATTTAATATGCTATCTTGCATTTTTTTGCTTGTTGGAGCAAAAGTTTCAAAAGAAAAGAATGAAATTGATATAATGGCTTCCCATGTACTATGTGCTAAGTGCATGAAAACTTATAACCGTAAAAGTTCGAGTTAATATGTTATCATATCATATCAGACTTGATGCTAAGTAATTTTCAGAAAAACCAATATCAATTTCGGATCATTTCTGACATTTTTACACATTATAGGATTAAATTCCTTCATTTTACGAATATTATTGCAGAAAGCAAATATCCATTAGCTGAAACTCGTCACGATGCTTCAGTCCGTGGTACTACAAATGTTCGAAGTGGTGCTTTAACGAAATATATGCCGCAATTTGTTCTCATGACCTTAATGGGAATTATCGCTTTGTCGGTCATCCTGATAATCATTACGATTTCATGCATCATCTATTCCGGGTCTCGTAATCGTGTCTTCACTTCTCCTATTAAAATTGGTGGATTGCGATATCAAATTTAGAATCAATGTATTTTATTTAACTCAATCACAATTAATGGCTTATTTTATAGAAATTTTGAAGTGTTTTTTCTCTAAAAATACAATTTAAACTAAAATTGACAAAATGCATTTGTTCAATTACAACAGATGCTTTATTTATTATCTCAATTCCTTTGTCCAATTGTATTTTGCAGTAATAACTTCCACATACTAACCATCATAGCTAATACTTTTATAAATCTTTGTCATATGATTCATACAGAAAAGAAAAGTAAAACGAACAAATAATTCATAAAAGAATTTGAAAAAGTAATGCGACTGTTCCAGTTCTTTATGAAATTTATAGCATAAACTGAATACTTGCTAAGCTTATCATTTTTAACCGAATTTGTGATTGATTTCTTCGATCAAACAGTAATAACAAGCGAATGTTCCAGACTTGAATTTTTCAATCAACATAAATTTGATTGTATAGAATGAATGATAGGAAAAATAGTTTAAAGCATATACTTTCTAATAGGTTTTGAACTTCAGTTTAGTTCAGACTACTGCTTTATTTCAGTTTTCAAATCTAAATATATACCGATGTATAAGTTCTATTCCTTGAAAAGACTATTGAAACTAATTAATAAGGAAATCGTAAATATCTTGAATTTGCTATACTTAAGAACTCTTAAATCTGTCAGATTACAAAATAATTGAGACGATTAGCAAGGGATTTGTAAATTGCAATTTTTGAACTGAAAATATTAAAATAAATAATTAGTCGAATATGATTGTTAATATTGAGGTATATCAAAGGAATGACTGCTAGCAAGTCTGCTTTTGTGAAAAAGATCTTGGAATTGTATTATGCTTGTTTTCATAAGGTTGATGGATTCTAAAACGATTTATTCGTTAATGAGAATCCAGTAATTATAAAATCTTTTAAGTTATCAAATTATAAACGTCAGCAAAAATTGTTTCAGCGATTACAAGCGTTTTATGAAAAAACGATTCCACAGTGATAAATATGACAAGTCATTACCACACAATTCTTTTCACACTTAAATTTGGAACATCGTAATAATTGCTATCTTTTAAGAATGATTTAATAAGGAATGAACTTCGCTTTTTTTACTTGCGACGAACGAATATTGGTGAGAGTAAAATGATGGAAATAAACCTAATTGGTGCAGAAAAAGAAAAATTCTGGTTTGAAAAATGTTGTAGATTTCTTTTTTAAATTATCTTTCCATCTCTTAGGCCCAATTACTTTTCATAAATCATCATTTGGCTCTTTCCTTGCGCATTTGCTTATTATTCCTAAATGCGCAATTTATTTGAACCAACCATCTTTATAGGATAGTATAGAATGTGTAAAATTATTCATTTATACATAAAAATTATTTATTTGCTTTTTTATTTTTCAGAGATTATAATTTTTCATCAGGAATATTCCATATCACATGTAAAATCTTTTCTTTTTTATATAAAATAATAATCGCAATTGCTTGCGATAAAAATCGAAAGCAAGCGAGATAAAAACTAATGTTTGCTGCTTTTCATCGAATGAGGATTATTACCAGGCCTTAATTATCAGGCCAACTCACTTCCGTCTATTCTGATAAATCATTTATGCACCTTAACTATTACCACGCGTTCCTTGATTTTTGCATAGGCCTCACGCTTATCAGGTAACAAAAACAGAATTATCCGTTTTCGTGTTTCCGGAAGATAGAAATTCTTAATTCAGATTTTATTTCCTGAAATCTTAATTCCATACTTAAATTCTGCATTTTTACACTATGTGTAATGTGTGCAAAAAGCTGATTAAATGAATTTTTTTATTTTTTCTAAAAGTATTCCCTTGCTGCTCTTAATTGAAAAAGTTGCATTATTCATAATCATGAAATTCTTATAGTACGTGTAATATATTTTCATTTTTGAAAATTTTAATAAATTGAATTATAAAATGATTTGGATTCGTCTGACAAAATCAATTAGCAGAATTTCAGTTAACAAATGCGGGATGCTCTGCAACAGAATCCATGTATTTAATCTTGTAACAAAATTCAAAAATTTTCGTCGAATTTGTTCGTGAGATCAATTACAGCAATCAATTTAGCGTTATTATTGCGACCAATTATCTGCCGCAGATTGATAATTAAATCAAAATTCAATATTATGTTGTTTGAATATTCAATTTGTTTCATAAATCAATTGTACTTGCTTATTTCGGAATGTGAATCATCATTGATTAATATCTAAACCAAATTTTTCAAAAGTTAATTTATGCTTACAAATTCGAAAAAAGGATCAAAATTTGTTCCTACACCTCTGTTCTATTGCTAATAAACAGTAGCAACTGGAATATATTTATTGAAGATAAATAACTTAGGGCTAGAGAACTAATAATTGAGAAATGAAAGTTCGACAAAATAAAAAGATCGGATCAAAAAGTCTAATCGAATATCAAAGTATATTTATTTTTATTCGAATATGTTAAAATATTATGCATTAATCAATTTTTTGGAAGAATTTTTTAAGAAATAAAAACTTCATAGTATAAGAAAAAAATAGATGAACTGCATTTGGAAATGAAAACAGTACAGAAATTTGAAGAAGTTATTAACGTTTTGTCGAAGCATGATAATCTGATAGAGAAAACTGATGAAATGATAAGCTCTTGGGAGAAAAAATTGATGATGTTATCTTTTTTTTTCTCGATTTCTAACTAAACAAATAATTTCAAATTTAATTAAACGAGCAATAAACGACTAGAAGCAAAATTTTATAGTGATGAGTGTAATTTGTGGGTAAAATTAAAAAAAGTTCAATCAAAAATGTGTGGAAATTTATCTGAAATCATGAAAATTTTTTTTGAAAAGATTACAAATTTTGCTCGCTGTAATAAATTAAGCATGTAGAAAATACATCATTTTATTAATAAAATGATGAAATCTAAAATGTGCAAATTACAACATTTCTGAACAAACTAGAAATTTTCACTTAATCACAATCTTCAATTATTTATCAATTTTTCAATTATTCATATTTTACCTAATTGCAAATTATCACCAACATATTTGTTTTTATTTTCAGTTATCTGAAACTGTTACGTCTAAAAAGTCTATTTCAATGACTTTCTATTAAAGTCATTTTGCATATTGTTTGTTCTCTTTGAATAGCAATATTTCATATCACTGATGGCGCAAATGTGTTTTAGACGCGTGAAATTATTGACGAACAGCGCTTCAATTCAAAAACTGAATCGCATGTACTATAAAATATTCTCGTGGTTTGTACGCTTCACTTCCAGACAAAATTCTAACATTAATTATACCATAAACATTTGAAGCTTAAAAATTTTTATATTCGCAAACATTTGATTCCTAATTAAATGTTATCTATTGCGAGTTCAGTTTGCTTTGATTGCTCATAGCGACGTTAATGATAAATTTAATGATAACTAATTGCTGTGAATAATCATAAAGTAAAAAAAAAAACTTCGTACTTACTAAAAATTATTTAGAAAAGTCAATATTTTTGAAGATTCGTTAGCACGGGCAATAATTCCATTTCAACTGATGGCATACATAACCAATCGATTTTAAATCAATTCATAAATTTGCTGATACGACGAAACAAAAATCACGTCTTTCTACGCACATAGGATGAATGGAGAACCCGTTTTCTAGCAAAGTTCCACCGTCTCTGCCCTTATCATCTTTTTAATCTTCTCCTTCTAAATTTCATATTTACCTTTTATTATATTACAATATGGAAATGTTGCTAATAAAAGTAAACTTGCAAGATTTTCTTCATTTCTCTCAACTTTACCCAAACTATGATTTATAATTCATTAGTGACCTTACTTTCAGTGACAGCTGATGATCAATGTGAACATATGTTATTTTCAATTCTCATTATGTAGCGGTAATTGTAAAAAGACAAATTGATTTCGTTGAAGTTTGCGAGACTTCATCGAAGTAGTTCAAATAACGCCAAAGATATGAAGTATACATTTTTTTAAACATTGACATATGTCATCTTATTAAAGTTACTTAGTGTTCATTCCATTGTTCACTCTCTGAACTTCTGATAATCTCAAGTGCATAATGCGTTATTGCCTTGATTGATTTTTTTGTTTTCAAATTATTATGTAATCAGGAATTGCATTTACGGTATAGTTATTAACGTTCCTTAACGAACTTTTTTCCTTTATTACAAAAGGTTCAAAGAATTTTCATGTATCTGCAATCATCTATGTTGTAAATCAAGTAATATACTATTCTTGAGAATAACACTCATATTAAATTGTGATGTGTTCCAATTGAAATCTTTCTTGTTCCAAATATTTCTTGAAGCATCGATCATTTAAATTAATTTTTGATTTAATAGATTTTAATTGAATTTCAATTTATGCAAACATTATTAATGAGCCAATCAATCATCTAGAAATACGTAAACAAGAATAGCAGGCGACTATAAGAGAAATAACTGCATTGGTTTTCCAACCAAACAATTCATCTACCAAAATAACGAGTTTCATTCGAGCACATCACCATGAAAATTGTTCAAAACGAACTTTTGATGATGTAACCTATGCACTTCCTTTTTATTCACTTCAATGAATTTCTAACTTTTTATTCTTCACATTTACATTTTCAACACAAAAAGAGTGATTTCCTCTTATAAGTCTTTCGAACTGTTGCGGTATAGTCGTCGTGAAAGTAAATGTTGTCAGGAAAGATAAGTACTTAAATGACTTTTCTCTCATATTCTTCGACAATTGCAATGATGATGCAATTAGTAAACAAAGCTTAAAACTTAAAGATCAATCATTGAGAGCTACAGCTAATATCTCAGATATTGTTGCAAAATGTCTTAGCAGTAATAGTAATATCGTTTAAAATTTCAGCAGAATTAGTTGCAATGTTCGGTGCTCATTTCATCACAGAAAAATAAATCATTTCAATGCAATGTTTTCGCATGATTTCATGACATTTTTACTGCCAATTTTAAAGCAAAGTATAATTTTGTTCTTTCCTTTCTTTTTTTTTTCTTTTGTTCAAATTCGTCATAACATCATTTTTTTGATTGAGAAGTGATTTAAATTCAACCTTTTATTTAAATATGAATTCTTCCACTTTCTATTATTTTAAATAAAACTTGTGAAAAGACTTCCACGAAGTGTTTAGCAATTAATTTTAGAGATGAATAAATATTTTTAAAATGTTGTAAAAAATAAAATTTTATTTCATTGTTTTGATACCATTTCTACAAAAAAAAGAAGGAATTGAAGAAGTCGAATTGATCGTCCAAATATTGAAAATTAGCGGTGTTTAAAAAGATAAACAAAGAAACAGGTAACGTTGTTATAATTAAAGACTATGTCATGATAGTGTAATAGGAAGAGAATATCAAAAGAAATTTATCATTCCTTTCTTTCTTCTTGACAATAACTTCTTTTTTTCTTAATTGAAAAGGAATATTTGTGAGCGAAAATATTTTCGATGATCACAACAGTCGGAAATTTAAAGCTTGTTGATGCGAAAAATGCATATCTTTTATTGAAAAATTGTGAGCAGACTTCTAATTTTCATAAAAATGAAAAAAATGCTGGGTGAATGAATTGATGGAAATAGCGGTTGAATGAAGTTTTGAATTGTTAGTTTGATTGAAAATCAAGCAGGAAAGATCTTTGGAGGCGTGGTGTGTGTGTGTGTGTGTGATTGCTAAATTTCAACCTTACTACAACACCTTTTCTTTGTCCCTCTTTTCCTGGTAATACTCTCGTCCTTCCATCAAACGACATTTTATTAAGCAAACTATCTATCCTCAAAGCAGCTATCTACTGCCTCATCATATTGATGAACAAATAAATTTTCTCATTTTATTCTATAAACACGAAATTTCGAGTAAACAAAACATATAGCTTGTTGGATGCTTACTCAATCCTTTCTGTTTCACTTAAACAGCTAATCTGATTGTGTCAGCTGGATTAGTTGTTAAACAATCAGTAATTTTAATTATTGTAATAATTCTAGCATATTTTCAATAAAGTTAAATAGGAATGGTTCAAATTTTTTGTATTTATTCATAAGTTATAAAGTGAAATAGCTATTTTATTATGAGTTCTTACTGTCAAAATTGTGGCGCAAATGTCGCATTCAGTACTGAAAAATGATGGTCGCTATAATACTATTTGGTTAGGTAATAGATTAGAAATGATCATATCAATAAGAATGCGTTTAATAAAATGTGGTACAGACAATTAATATTATCATTTTGCTATTAGCAAATGATAATATTAAGTGGTATTTAGTGTTCAGAACAAGCTATGCTGTTTAAGATTATCAATTCCATGTTTTAATAGTAAAAATATGCTGTTTAAATTTAATGAAAATAGATTTGCAAATTCTTGGTAGCCCTAAATATATTTATTAGAGTTATTTGTCAGCACAACGGATGACGTAAAAGCATTTTTCCAAACTGTATTATTTGAAAGCTTTCAATTCTAAAAGCATCGCTTGGTTTATCATTTTCTAAAGCGTATGATATAAAATGTTTTGATAGCATTGGAATAAATGTAACTTATCAGAGTGAAAGTGAAAGTCGAAAATTTTTTCAATTCCAAAAAGGCATTTATCTCTCTGTTCAAAAGTTTTCTTTTCGAATTTTTGAAGCTAAAGTTTTTTTTTTTTGAATATAAAACAAAAATGAATTCCTTTTAGCATCATCGATTTTATATAAATTAATAGCAATATATTTTTTGCATGTATCAATTATTTATTAAACGGCTTAAATAGCAAGCTTAGATATTATCTTGGACATTTTAGTAAAAGAACTTACCTATAATTTTAGCTCGAAATTTCGATTCTTTTGCAATTCTTATCCCTTTATTTATGTTTCACAAATACAAACACTATTATCATCCCATTTTTGTTTTTTGGTTTGCAGGATGTTGGCCAGTTATATACGATTGATAGTTGTATGTGGATTGTTTCCTTTTATCAGAGCTTCTTATGAAGAATTATGCAAATTTGCAGGCAATATTACAGGTAATTTTAGTGTTAAAAAATGAAAAAAGAATCAACTAGTGCAATTATGATGCATGGAATCTTAAAATAACTTAATTCTGACGTTCATTAAGCAAGAAGAATATTTCAATTACACTTAATTAAAATTACATTTCAAGTTTCAACGATGTTTTATGAAGCGATTTAAGATTCCATTTAATAAGAATTTGTTAAAGTAATAAATTAAAAGTTGAAATTCAATATTATGAAGACTTTTTTGTTTCATCCCAAAATTCATGTTTATGTAATTTAATTTCTTTTTTTCTTTTTTTGATATTAACTAAGTGTGAAAGTTTTAAAAAGTTTTGCAGTTAGCTGTATAAATAGAAATGATAGATAATGATGCTCAGAAGACTCAGCTGTTCAGAAAACAAATCATTGATTTTCTTTGTGCAAAATCAAGATATTTTGTGACAACAAAACAAAAGTTTTGTTTAAAAACTTTTTTCCCTTCTTTTAGCAAAGTTTAGAGTCTGTTAGTTAACCAAATCAAATGGTATTATACTATGTGCAGGATATGTTTGAAATGTTTAATTAATTGAAAAGATTAGACACACAAGTTACTGTTTATTTTAGATATCCAGTTTTAATTCTTCCTTTTAAGTACTCATTTTGCGCACGATGAATTAGCTCACTCGAATTAATAGTAATTGTATTTGTTGGAAGCGCAAAAGAAACTGAAGCTATACATTTGGCGCAATTTGGAAAATTTAGCTTCATTTTAACTGTTAAAAAGGTTGTTTGAGGTGAAGTTACAAATTTACTTATACAGTCTGAACAGATTTTAGTTGTCATTAATTTTTCCTCATATTATCTAATATTAGAAATATTTTCAAACAAGCTTGTGTGAAATTTAAATTTTAGAGTAAAATATATGAATCAATAACATTAATTTGCAACATATTAAGATAACATTATACTTAAATTTAAAATTTATTATTAATTTTTACCGGAATAAAATCTAAAAGCCTAGTTGTTAGAATAAAATAAAATGGAGCCAACTGATATTTATATGAAAATTATTTGCAATGAAATTTCAAGCATTTTGTTATGACAATGTTAAGATATTGCATTAAATTCAAGCACTTGTACTATCAGCTATCATTAATTTTGCTCTAAAAATCATCGAGTCAGATTTAAATGTTTCAATTGATGATTAAAAATTATCCAAAATGTCAGCAGTTATTTATTAAATCATTTGAGAAATGAAGCATTTCAAATTATTTTGTTTTAATTTTCTCTTCTTTTCCATTAAGATTAACTAAAAATGATTTACATCAAAATTGTTCGTTCAGCAAGCATCAAAGAGCACTTCTTTTCAAATTAATCCGAAGAAAAACCGGTTTTTCACTAATATTAAATGACAGTGCCAACGAACCCATTTTCAGAACTAACGTCAGCTGACTGAATGATAACACTTTTCATTTGGCATTTGGATGAAATTTTAAACAAACTGATGAAAAAGTTTTCAAAAAATGAAAATTGATTACATTGTGAATGTAAAAAAAAAGTTAAATATAATATTACGAAAAAGAAAAATTGCTATTTTTCCATTTTTTTTTTGTTCCTAATTTTAGATGTGGAAGAATTAGCGCATCATAAATATCAGGTGCTGGAGGATTGCTTATATTACAAACTTAGCCAGGACGCAAATGCAATGCAAGGCAAGTCGAACGCAATCAGCATTTTGCCTCCAACTGTAGCTGCTGGTGAAACTTTGGATGCTGAAATTCTTGAAATTGCACTTAAGCAATTGTGGATGGTATATCTTAGTGAATTTCCTGCTAAAATTAAATGAATGTATTTTGATGAGGATAGCAATTTTTTCAACTGTTCTATTAAAAGAAATGAAAATGTAACTAACAATTTTTGAAGTTTTACAGCAAATTCATTCTTGAAAATTGCAAAGGATCTTGCATTATTCATTTGATAATAGAAAATAGCTGGAATTTTTAAATTTACAAATTTATAAGAGATGAATAATTATGCTAATTAAAAAAAATTTAAAGCACAATCTTCAGATTTTTACTTCTAATGATAAGTGAATTTTCAGAATGAGATATGGCATGTGATGAATATAAATGGACATTTTTTAATCGTATGTTTCATTTTTTCCAAGAATTTTGAATTCGATTAATTTTTCCTGACTCTTTTGCAATAAATATATTAATGTAAGCATAATTAAATAATTAGATGAATGAGAAAGCAAGCGAACAAAACCAATAAATTTTGAGATAATCCAATCAACCGAATGTCACCACTTGGGAATCTTTTTTTGGCAGAAAATGATTCTTTAAAATTTTGTTACAAACTTAAAAGGTGCAATAATGTTATATCAAATGTTCAAAGGCTGTACAGACCTTTTCGCTTTTTTTAAAAAGCCAAAAAAGGAAGCTAAAAATCATGAAATAATATTAGAGATTTCGTTAGAGGGTAGAGCAAAGATGAAGTAATGAATTACACAAATCCATCACTCTTTGCTATCTCTAACAAAATAATATATTTCAATTTCGTAACATTTTAAATCTTCTAAATTAACAATTTTTTTTTCATATATCACAATTTTCAAAGATATATCACAATTTTTTATATCACAAATTTCAAAGCCTTTAAGGGGAAGGAATGATTAAATATGATTAGAGAAAGAATTAGGGAAAGATTTTAATTAGATGGTGCAATTAATTTAATTATATTGGCCAAATGATGGAAACTCATTCAGTTATAAATATAACTGAAGTCATCTTTTGAAATTTCATAAAAATTATTGTTAGTTGTATTCTGTCGGAAAACATCAATCTCATGATAGACTAAAATTTTAAAAACCAATATTGAAATGACATATTTAGAATGACATCCAAATCAAACAAATACTGTAGTGTGATAAATTGAGGTTACATTCAATTTTTGTGACATTAATCCAGGCAAGTATAATGGGTTGGCTACCTGTGCATGCAAACTCAAAGTTTACCTTTATAAAAGAGAGGGCACGATGGTATTTCTATGCCTTTATAATTCGGGTCAAAAATTTTCAAAATTTTTATCTGAATAAATTTCAGGTGAAAAATAAATAACTGAAATAAAGGAAAAGTAACTAAGATTACTTAAATACATAAAATTTTAATAAATAGAAAGAATATATCAGTGAATCTATTTCTAAGTATTCTTCCTTCATAAATTATGTTTAGATGGAAATTCAATACTTACGGAAAAATATATCTGAATTTTAAGTCATGGAAGGATCGCAGAATGAAGTGGGATTTGAATGAATGGAAAACCGATACGTTGAATATACGTTCATATGGTAGGCTATGGGTACCAGATATTAATAGCGAGAGGTATGTTTTCTAATTTCATCAAATAAGTCGAATTTAGCTGTCACAATTATCGTTATCACAACTTGGAAAACATAAAAACAGTAATTGATTTATTACCAAAAAACAGACTCAAAAATTCTCTAGAATAAATTTCCAAGTGAAAATACTTTGAGAAGTTTCTTTGAACAAAAAATTGTTTCAAGAATTCACAAATGAATCTCATATATCATTAGCGATCCGGGGTTAATTTAAAAAAATTTATCTTTTTGTCCCATGTAATAATTTCATAAATTGCCATTCCTGTTAAATGCAATTTGCACAACAACGAGCGTCCAGTAAAAATTTGTTCAACCTGGCACGCCATTAATTTTCCTCGAATTTTTTGATTTTTATATTCATCTTTCTTTTCACTAATTTTTTCGTTTCATATGCATATTTGAGATTTGATATAGCCTAAGCGATTTCTGTTCATTTGACTGTTTTGCTCTTATTTTAGTTTTTGTGTTAATTATTTCCGATTGAACAATATCATATTTTTTGGACTACATTTTCGGAGTTAAAAAAAATTAAAAGTACCAATGGTTATGAATCATTGGAATTTGCAGATTTCAAACATCATCTCAAAGCGGTGATTATGCACAATTCTATAATATTGTCGCAAAGAACAATGGTAATGTCACTGGACGATTGGAATTTAAAATGCAAGCTCATTGTGATATTGACTATACCAATTTCCCAGATGTTAGCTTTCCTAATGTTAAATTATATTTCTTGAAAAATAATAAATTGAAAATTTAAAGTGATATTTAAATTTAATCATTTGTAAATTTTGCACTTTATATTATTAATTTTACTTTACAGAACTAAATGATCTATTTTGTAACACAATTATTCATTGCAGGATGACAAAAATTGCTGTTTTCGAATGAAATCAATTCTTTATCCTCATTACATTAGATACTATCTTGCTCAGGGTGAAGGTGATCATCAAAATTTAATTTATCAAAATGGAATTATTTCTCATGTATTTTGCTGAAAGCAAAGTTTTTATAAGAGAAGATTGTAGAAGAAATTGAATTATTCTGCAGATGGATTGGATCTCGCAAAACTGAGGACCAACTGGCATGTTCGAGATGCAAATATCAAAATTTTGCCGGATGAAGACGACCGCAAGTTAGTTCATTTCCTTTCATTATTATTTTATTATTTTCTAACATTCTTTCATCGTAATTTCCTAAAAATAATGTACATTTTAACCTCTGTGATAAGAATATTTCAGAGCACAAATGCTACAAATTTGTTTGCAAGTACGACGTCGATCGTCAACGTTACGTATTGAACTTACGCTTCCGATGATGGTTTCTTCGTTATTTGTTGTAATCGCGCCATTCTTCGGTTCTTTTCGTGATCAAGTTTGTGATTCTTAAATAAAATTCTTATAGTTTCAGCTATTTTAACAGTTTATTTCATCATGACAGAATAATTTTGAAAATTGACATTTTATTTCACTTCATTTAAGATATTAATGTAGCAAACTTTTATTAGATAATTCTTAGTTTTTTTGATTTCTTATTAGACAGATGCTAGTTTTTTTAACGGTATTTTTATTAAGTAACTGATGATTTTGTTTTTGACCTATTACAAAGATTTGTATCAATATCGAATTTCTTTCTTGATATTATTTTCAAATACTGCGAGCTTCTTCTACTGCTTTCGCATTATCAATTCTTCATTGCCAAACTCTGAATTCAAATTTTTTTATAACAATAATTTCAGAATAATTTTTGCAGATTAACGTGAAATTGTTTGCAATATTCATTCAGCTGGTCAGTTTCACATTTTTGGCTATAAAGGCTCCCCAGGTTGGATTTGGTGAAACTGTTCCGCATATATGTGAGTCGTTTTCTTTTTATTAATTATAGTTTATTTTTTTAATTTTAATCGTTGCATGGATAAAAATTGTTCTGATCAATTAATTTTTCAGTAATGACTTGAAGAGATCAACTCAAATTCTAATGTCTTAGTAAAGCAATCAGCAACACTGACAAAAATTCTTATATGAGAGAAAAGTAGTGTTAAAAAGAAAAATTATTTCTGTTTAAAACTATGAGTTGAACTTGCAGTCTGTTTGTGATTACTTGCTCATGCAATTTGAAAATCATTTCAGATACATTTTACGTATTCACGCTGTCTACAACAGTGATCAGTTTACTTTTGACGCTTGTTATCAGCGCGATGTCACGAATTCGGCGGAAATTACCACCTGGTAAAATGAATAATTGCAGTTATTTGCTTACAGATTAGTAGTTAATGACATAAATTATTTTGCTCATTACCTCTTTATAAAAATTTTCGTAATTAAAATTTTAATTAAAAATTGAAATTGCGCATATTCATTGAAGAAATAAATAAATTAAAATTCTGAAGAAATCTCATAGAACGAACATTAATTGTTGAAATACTAATTATAATTATGAAGTATTAAATCATATATTTTAAAATCATGATACATTTTTTTAATATTTTGGATATTTTAAAGTCAAATCATTGATTAAATAGATGGGTTGTTTTTAAAATTTTATGCTTTGGAATAAATTTTTCGCAAACGTTGTTATTTATACATTTAAGAGAAGTTTTAAAAGTAATATCCCTTATAAATGAGATTTTTTTGACAACTACCAAATGTATTACACAAAATTTTTCTTTGAATCCAATTGTTGAATTAGAAAAATCGGTCTTAAAATTGCCCACTTCAATGGCATTACTTTTTTCTCGACATCATTATCTTAATTAATTTAAGCTAATGATACTTTTTCAGCACATCGATATACATTGCTGGCTTCTGCACTGAATACCAGCTTATGTTGCGGAAGTGAGCCGAGCGCTGAAATTGATGGAACTTCAGCAAAAGATTATCACCAAGATTGGCTACAAATTCACATCGCTGCCAATAATATCATCTCATTCGTCATTCTCATTGCTTATATCATTGGTATCATCGTTATTCTATGTATGTGATAGAAAAAAATATTGTACAGAATATGCTGAATCTAATTCTCGAAAATTTAATAAACTTCACATTAAGATGAAATACTGCGCAGATTTACAAGCATTTTCAAATATCATATAAGTTATGCGTGTAAAATTCTCATATGTGTACATAATCTTTCTATTCGAAACATTAGTTTATAATAGCGCAATCAGTCTAATTAATTATACAATCTTCAAATAAACATGTGAATGCAAAATGTAGAAATAGAATGAAAGCCGTAAAAACAAATGAAATAATGCTAAAAAAATGTTGTGCAAGAATATGAAAATAGTAGTAAAAGCACATTATAATAAAATCGACCGGAAAAATTTTATTAAGCCCGATAATTTGATACGATTGATAAATTATTATCAAAATTTTGATATAGATTTATTTTATCACAAGGTTTTATTTTTTTAGTTCTTTTACATAGGTAACACAAAGCTATAGGACAGTGAATTCATCATTTTTGTTACTGTCGATAGAATTTAATTTAGGAAAGAGAAAAATGTCATTTTTGGTACAGAAAAGATCAGTTTAACTCAGGTTTATTTTATTATGAATTTGAAAAACTTTTCGACGGTTTTGTACTTATCCTAATTGGAAGAGAAAAGAAAGAATTCACACGTTGATGAATAAATGGAATGATTCCAAAATGATGAACTATTTGACAAACCGATCATTTATAAAATAGGTTGAAGGAATAAATGGATTCAATCAACAGATTTCTTCCAATTTAGAAATGTTAAAATTTTAATTTTAAATTGGTGAATGTAACTGGATGATTGGTGATCCGATGTCGTTTGGTCATATATCAAAATTAACAATTGTAAACTATTCATTAATTTTGTTATTGCAACCAGTCAGCGTATGTAAAATTATGTCGTGAAAACGAAACCTCAAACAAATAGTGAGATAAATTTCTTTGTCATTGTATCTTAATGCGGATGAAACCATAAATCATTTCCGACATGTCTATATTCCTTAATTTACCCCCTTTTTTACACGTTAATTGTTATCTTATTCAGCTAATTTCTATTCTTCTGCTTAACCCTTCGTTTCCCATTTCAATCTTCCTATTCAATCTTACGCTTGTACCTTTGTTTCCGATGCTTAAAAGCTCACTGTAAGACACGCCCATCCTATAAGACATATAAGCCTAACCCCAGGGGGTCACGGCTCTCTTTTCACTTCATCGCTTTATGTATCACTGCTGTCCTAAAACTGCTGCTTCAATAAAGGTTCAAAACTCCGATCGTCGTGTATTTTACAGCGAATTGATTCTCCACAAATCCCCTCACATCAAGTCAGTACTTCATCTAGTAAGATTGCTCTGGTCCAACTGCCCAAAGTTCAGCTCGGCAACAAGAAATATCTGGCAGTCATCAAACTTTCACAACAAATTACATTTGATTTATAAAATCCTCGATTTTAATCTTTAGTTGCTTATTATTCGGTTTAAATTAACAATAACATATTATTTTGCATATTATTTGATATGTTAACTTTTATTCAATTTAGTAAATTAACCTTCTGCTAATTTTTACATGCTTGTATGATGTAGAATGACATATGATATAGAAAAAAGAAGCAGATCGTATGGTCGTAATAGTGATAAAGTAGCTGTACTGATAAGTTAAATTGATAAAGATTTTAAATTTGCCACAACTTTACTGTTTCATTAAAATTCAAAATTCAATGAATTTTGCTTCATCTATAGCTCTTTATATGTTTGTAATGCAAAAAAAATGAGTAATGGAAGCGAAATCGTTTTATTCATTTCATTCTTTACTTATTTTGAAACTCATTTTTTCA